TTCTGTTGGTTTATTATAGTTCTCGGACTTTGTTGTTCCATAAATTACATTTAATCATATTTTAACTTCTACAGGTTTCGTCACTCATAAAAGTTTTTATACCAATTAGCACACGGACACTTAAACGCCAAATCTGCGCCTGTCGGGCTTTGTTGAACAATTTGCTCGTATATCGATTGTAATACAATAGGGTGTATGTAGTCAATGTATCAACAAAAAAATGCACGAGATAACGATAAAATAATCAAGGGTACGACGTCTATGTAAATGTTTTAAATAAATAAGTTTTCCATGTTTATACTGAATAATTATGTCGAAATTTCCAACAGACGTGTATTTTGGTACGTTAATAATTTTGAAATGTTTGACTGGATTTTTTTTTTAAATAAAGACGTAATTTTTGGATGGTGGACAACGCATTCTAAATATTTATATTTTCACAAGCACTACAATTGTACTTGTCATTTGTTACCTTTGTTGTAATAATACGCATAAAACAATAACACACGATAATTTTTGTTTATATTTAACTTAAAAGTTATTTGTGAGCTATTCAACAACGTTAGGTTAATAAATAGTAAAGTTTCATTTAAAACTATCTGGAACATAAACTTATGCAGCGTATAAGCAAATATTAAAAAAATCTTTATAATTTGTAATTTTTAAGAATAACACAGATTTTTTATAAATTCGTTGTACTATTTCTATATAATAAATTAACGAAAACATTACTGACAGTTTAACGTTCGATTAGTTGGACTTTAAATCTTTACTTACTTCTGAAAAATTTCTTTCGGAGGCCATAAACTTGAGTAAACCTCCGCCTGGCGCGGCACTACTACACAACACAGTCTGGACAACAACCAAAAACAGTATAAATGGCCTTGTGCGGCCATTGTACGTTAACATGACGATAAAAAACTGTTAATAAAACTAAATAATTAAAAAAACGGCACAACAGAGTTATACAGTTATACTCCGGGACGGCACGTCGCACAGCGGCACATCGGACGCGGTGGCGGCAAGTCGACTGAACTAGCCGCGCTCAACAGAGATGCCGGCCGGCCAAACGGGATCACGCGCACACCAGCGCCTTCTCGTCTGCTACCCAAAAGGGGGAGGGGTTGAACGCCCAAATGAACGCTGCAAGTGGTTCTCGTCAAATGTAAAGGGGATGTTAACAAACTTTGTATTTTAACATGACACCAAACATTTATCTCCATACAAGCTTAAAATTTCAATATAAGTAAATAACATTACTAATAGTAAAATAAATTAATTTTCTAATTTTACATGTGCATACTAAATACATTTGTTTTAATCTCATTTTATTACTTGTAATAAAATTACAAATAATAAATAACTCATAAATAAAATGATTTTGATATTTGATAAAAACAATTATATTGTTAAATATATATATTAATATAAAATATTGAAAAATTAAACGTCATTAATAACTTGTAATATATAAAAACTATCAAAACACAATGATTTTAAATTAAAAATAGGTCTCGTCTCATTGGATAACGACCCTTCTCAAATATTTCTTTTGGATTCACGTCTGAGCAAGTGGGTTAAACGTAAATCTATTAAATACTTACAATTAATACTTTTAAATACACATTTTACTAATATTAATAGTTTTCTCAAATAATAGAATCTTTCCAAAAACTACCTGATCTAGGGGAGTATTTAAAAATTAATTAAAGGGAGTATACTAATAAAATTATTTAGAGCTGATTATATACAAAAAAACATTTTTATATTAGCATAGGTACTCAAAGAGGGAGTAGATACTCCATCTAAATCCCCCCTATAAACGTCACTGCTATAACTATTAGTATACACGATGAAAAAAAAACTTAATAGAAGTAATTCTGATTAGACCTAAAATAAATTTAACATGGTTAAACTTATTAATTTGATTTTATTTTACAAAAGAAATGCTGGATTCAATAAATACATCAGTGTTTTAATCAATTAATTATCATATTTTTAAACAATACAAATTATGTTTAATTGAAACATTATAATTAATCAATTAATAATATTTAACTAAAGACTAACTGCAAAAAAAACACAACTTATTTAATAAAAATTTTAATTTACAAATAAAACTTAGTACACTTTTTAATTTTAAGTTAAACTTCTTTTTAAATTCTTTTCGCTTGAATTCTACAATAAAAGATAGTTATTTTTAATAATGAATTATTAATAAAAGGTTTATAAAGTACTATTATAACTAAAAATGTTCAAACTTTGCTTTTTTTAGCATGAATCTATTAAAATAATAAAAATATATAAGTAAAGTTACAAGTGATTTGTATTAATCTTACTTATAAAAGAAATTGAAAACAATTGCAAATCTACTCAAAGTAAGATATATGATATTTCCTGATTATCCTCAATATCCTTAAATAGTATAATGGACCTTGTTACAAGTGACTGAACTTAATTATTAATAATTGTAGTGATTATTTCAATTCATTTCTGGTACCGATCTAAGTCAAACGCAACCTATGGTAATGATAGTACAGAATCTTGTGCTGCTATCTACCGTAGTACCTTATTAAATAATACTAAAATGACACCTATAGTAAGTTAAATGTAGAAACTTTGATAATACTTCTCACATGTGATTAAAAATATAGTTTCAATGGTATATATAATGTTATTTAATTAATATATAAATGTACTTGCTTCGGCAGTACATATACTAAAATTGGAACGATACAGAGAAGATTAGCATGGCCCCTGCGCAAGGATGACACGCAAAATCGTGAAGCGTTCCACATTTTTTGCAATTTTTTTTATTATTATAAAGTTAATTTACATATTGTGTATCTTCTTCACTCACTAAGTAAGGTCATCTCTAGGACTGTTTTTGAGTATATTAAAAAAAAAATGAGTAATAAGTCGATTATTGAATTATTTACATGTAATATTATTAAATAACAAATAAAATATTTTTAGTTTTAATATAAAGCTGAGAAGATATTAATTTTACTAGGATATATTTATTTATTTATGTCTGTCGTCACTATTTCCCAGCTTGATCTTTATCATTCAATGATTTATTAATGATTTTTATATCAACGATTTATCAAAAGATCACAAATATTATCTAGTTAAAAATATTACTCTTAAAATATTTAAAAAAAAGTCTTCATTCTCTGTAAATGAGGGAAATCCTCAAAAATGTTAAGGTATTTAAAATAGACAAATCTCTACATATCTTAAACAGTTGTAACTGTTTTAAAAATAGACCAATTAAAATAATGTTTCTTTATAAATACTTAAGTTTTTCTTTTTCACTTTTCCAGGTGTAAATTATATTTTTAATTTTATCCTTTACATGCCCACATAAGTCATTAAAAAAAAAAAATAGCAACTTTTGCACAAAAAGTTAATTTTTGAAAATGAGTCCTTTAAACATATTTTTAATTAAAGCTATATTATGTACTGCTAGTTAAAATAAAAAAATTATCCTGGCATCTTATCTTTTATGAGTAAATGGCCACTGTAGTTAACATACATGCTATATTTTTTTTAATTTAAAATTTTATATCTTATATTTTACTTTATATCAATAAATAATTTTTTGGAAAACGTGTGATTGATGCAATTTTTTATAAGTACTTTATAACTATATCTTTTTCGTCCGACATACTTTTTTTTTTAAATCAACCTTATTCCACTAATACAGAGGAGTTCAAAACTGAAAACATACGTATTAAGAGCTGAACTTTTTCAAGTTACCTTTTTTAAAATGTTCTGAAAATACTGCGTATTTAAACGTGTGTTAGATTAAAACTTACATATTAAAAATCATAAAAAATAAATTTGTTTAGATGACTTGTCATTTATATATACTAAGTGGTCTGCAAAATGAAATAAAAATGTTATTTTTGTATAAAAATAACCTTTATTTGTATTGAAATGATTAAACAATCAGTTTATAAATTTACTATTAATTTTAATCTGTCTTTTTCATCATTATTTATTGAAATATTTAAATTAAAATTTTTTCATATAAATTATTAAATAAATAATCCAAACATTAACTTTTAAGTTTTATTTTTGCAGCTACAATCAAAATTGAACGTTTAATTTTATCGACAGCAAATGTATTGTAAATGAGTTGATAGTTAATAAAATTTGATCAAGAAATGTAGGGGAAAATAAAACATCAAAAGAACAAAATTTGTTTAATAATCCTTTCTCTTCTTCGTGCCTTCTTTTTTTTTTTTAATTTTTTAAAGTTGCGATAAATTTTAAGATGTTCAAATCGTATAAAAAATGAATATCTTTGTATTTTACGAATGATATTGTATTAGGGGACTTTATTGTAATCTTTCTGGACTAAAGAAAATATTTCATGATTCAAAGTCGAGCTAGAAATGCATAAATTGCTTCTAGCAATCGTGTCGTCAACAATTCCTACAGATTTAGCAACAACAACCAAAAAAAGATTAAGCCGATAAAAATGCCACTGATATTCACCTTCAATAAAATAATATGACTCATATAAACAACATTTATACATGCTGTATGAACAGTTCTTGAAAATCTCAATTTACCTAAATTATTTTTTTACTTGGTTTGCATCGCAATGTGCAAACAATGAAACTGTTTTTGATGACAAATGTGGTTTAACTCTTTAAATCGTCTCCATTGTTTATGGATGTGACAATATAAAATAAGTTACAATATTCTATTTCAAATAATCATTACAAATAAATTTATTATTACATGAGTTTATAACTAATATTAATTTTTGAATAATTTTTTAATAAATTTTTTCATGTAGTAGAACTATTAACGTTTAGCCAGGTATTACATTTTTGAAAAATTTATGTACTCGTGGCCTACTTTATATTGTACATGTTTCGTAATTTACATTCTTATCAATTCAACTCACTATCAACATAAAACACAGATATTATTTTATTATGAATTATTATTATTACTACTGTTTACTCATTCTAAATGTAATGATTTGTATTTTTAAATTATCAAATTTAATTAGTAATATCTAATTATTTTTTAATATAATTTATATTACCTTTAATAAGTATAAAGTAATCTATTTAAATTTGAATTTATGTTCAATCTTTTGGTCATAGGGTACAAATGCTTGTGAAACACTACAGTTTGAACTTTCTTTAAATAACAATCATTGAATTTATTCACTTAGATCCCAATGAGGTTGTACAATGAAAAGTGTAGTAGAGGAAGAATTCAACAACAAAAAATTACCAAATAAAAACACTCAAGCTGTTAAAAATTCACAGATTAAAATGTTCTCTAAAAGATTAGGAAAAGAAATTATTTGTTTATTTATAATTTTATGCACTACCTACGCAACCTTAATTAATTTGTAAGTTGGTTATAACTAATGATATCATTTAAATTTTTCGTTGACTAATGTGGATAATTATGGAATGATTATTTTTAAATCTCACCCGAAAAAGCTTCTGCATGTAGAAATCCCTTTACATTGTCAGTAAAAATTATAAATATAAAATTTCTGTCAATGAGACTCAAATAAGTGTATAATAACACCTCATCTTAAATGATGATAATTAAGTATTAAATTTTTATTTCTAATAATAAATTTCTTTATTCAAAGAAAAAATGATAATACCAACAAAGGACCCAGCCCAAAACCATTTTTTCACAGTAATTCTTGCGTTGAAGACTATTATGACGGTGATTTAAAAGCGGCATTAGACAAGGCATTTCAAGTTGATTTAGCTGTTATTATGTTTTATGCTCCTTGGGATGTTGATTCAATAGAATCTCGTGAAGCTTTTGAAGAAGCTTGTATTATAAATAATGATGAAGTAATTATATTTTTAAATATTTTTTTAATTATAATTATTAAAAGACTGTGGACATAAGCTAAAATAAAATTTTATATTTTATTTCAGGTCTATTTTGCTGCTGTTAATTGTTGGCAACCAGATAGCATTTGTAATAAAATTCTTAAAGGAAATAAAATATATCCTATGATAGTAGCTTATGATTATACCAAGTCTGGAGTACCTTACTCAGGACCATCAGATGATGCTGCTTATTTAACCCGTTTTATTGATTTAATGAAAAGACCTGTTATACTATTAAAGAATAAGTTAGATCTAGTAAAAGTACATAGAAAGTTCCATGTAAGTAGCTCTTTCCATATTTAGTCCCTTCATATTATTTATAAAAAATTATCCTATGCTATAGAATGTTTTAGTAACGTTGGTTGATTTCAAAACATCAGATGGTTGGGACTTATATTCAATAGTTTTAGGTGCAGCCATCAATAATTTAAAATCAGACCCTTTGCAAATGTATGTAAAATGGTGTATAGCAATTTGGCCTATGAACGATAATGAATCAATAATCAAACTACACTTGTGGAATCGTACTCTGGTAAAATTTTGTATAAATTATAGTTATATTAAAAATTATTAAATTAAATTTTTTAAGGCTTACAATCATTCTATTATAAATCAAGAAAAACTTGAAAGATGGGTTTTACAAGAAACTAAGTTGACTTCAAGATGGGTTCCATCGCCTGGAAGAAGTAGATCACAGTTATTAGAAGAAACATTTAATTATGGACCAACTATGTTATTGTTCACTCCTCAAAATCCTTATTTAGATATGCATCCTACTTATTCAATGGTATAAGAAAATAGTATAGTATTAAAATATAATATATTTTTTTAAATGACAACAAATATATTTTCATTGTTTAGATATAATAAAATTATTCAACTATGAAAGTAACAACTTTTGAACCCATACCTAGCCATAAGTTATTAATATTTTTAAATGTAGACTGAAGGCAAAGTATGGATTATATTATTTTATCATAACTTTTAAAATACTGGTTTAAAAGTTGTTATCGACCAGTTATTGTCTTATTTTGATCATTTTCTATTATATAAACTTGTTAAATATGTAAGTTGCTGTTTAAAAAAATTTACTTAGTATTCTTATAAGGGATAGGCCTAAAAAATATTTAACCATTTAAAAATTAAGAAATAAATACTATAATAAATAATAAATATTTTTTAAAAAGTTAATTTTATAAAAATATTTAGTTTCAGGCTTTGAGTATTGAGTATTTTAACTGTGGAAAAAATAATATTCAAGGTCATTATATTACTAAATACATAAAAAAACAATTAAAATGTGAGTTGGTTTTACTTTTTATGTTTCATTAATTTTAATTTTATTAAAGTATGATTAATGATTTTTTTTAGTTTTTTTTGAAGAACGACCAAAATATGTTAAGCAATGTTTTCAGATGTTGAAAAAAAAAAATCCTAGTAAATTAATGAATTTACAAAAAATACTAAACAATACATTTGAAAATTATAGAAATTACAATGCACCAGAAGTCACATTAAAACCAGAAAATAATATTTTCAATGAAGCTTTTTGTGAGGTCACTCAAAGTTTTTTTTCTAATCGAGCAAAATCTTTTTGTTCTTTTAACGGTGATAAAAGAATCACAATACAAAAGTAAGATTGTAATTTTCAGATAAATTATTATGATATAGGTAAATAATTTTATTTATTTAAATTTTAATTAGCAGAAAACAACAACCATCTTTAAACTATGAGAGTACTGATCAATTTATTAATTATTGGAATGAAAATGAATGTTACAGGTCATTACTTGCAGAAAAATATTTTAAGTAAGCTATTACATTCACAAAAGTTAAATAAAAATAAATCTGCAGTTAAAATGTTTATCTGAGCATACAATGCATTATGAGTTATAAATTCACCTACAATTTTAAATAAATATATATATACTTTTTTAAAAATTCAAGTAATAAATACACATTGTATTAATAAATCAAATTACTATATTTCTAAAAACTATGTTTAGATTTTCAGAACCACAGTATAAAACTAATGTTAAAGAAGCAAATGTTTTTGGGTTGGCATGTACAGCTAACAAAACTATGACATTCATTGCTTTAGATTCAAAACGATTTCATCATGTAGCTAAAGGATTTGGTATAAATTTAAACCAATTCAGGGAAAATACAGCTCTTTTGATGTATGATAAGAAGGTATTTTTATATGGTTATGTAATTTTTAAAAATTTTATCATAAAATTTTAATTCTAATTCTAATTTAGAATGAAATAGCCCATGTATTACCCAAAGAAACACACATAACTAAAGAAACAATGGCTAAATTTTTATTAGATTTTTTAGAAAATCGATCAAAACGACATTTAAAATTTTCTTCTGATCCCGAGTTGAACATCCATTCTTATAATAGTAAAAGTACAGTCAAAGATTCTATTTGTATTGAAACTCTAAATTCAAGAAACTTTAATGATGCTGTATTTAACAGTACAGAGGTTTGTAAATATTTAATCAATTTTTAATCTTATATTAAAATAATTATATAATACTTATTCAAAATTTGTCAAGTCTTAATATGTATTAAGAAATGGCAAAAATGTTAAACATTTATGTGATTTCAAATTTTCTTATTCTTATATATCTTTCTTCTTTTTTTTCCCCTTAATCCAAACTATTTGGGTTAAGCCACTCTTATCCTAAACTTCCACTTGATGCGATCTCCCACATCATCTACGCTCTCATCAGCTGTTTTCATAACACATTCAATTACATCCCTCCATCTCTTTTTTGGTCTTCTTGTACCTCTTCTTGCTTTAACATTCATTTCTATAACAGTTCTTACAGCTATTCTTATTTATTCATACATATAAAATAAAAAAAAAAACCTATCTATTAAAGCTAACATTCTAAAAAACTCTAGATCTATATAAGTCTAATTATATAAAAATATATTTTTATATTAGTAGGCTTTTTTTTAACTACTGTAAAAACAAATATGTAGTGGTATCTTATATGTATGCTTATAATAAATTAATTCAATTTTTTTGATACAATTAATTTTATATTTATTTTTTTAGAATGTAGTAGTTTATTTTTATACATCTTATTGTGCATATTGTCAAGTCGTAGCTCATGTATTACTTACTGTAGCACATTTAATGAGAAATGTAAAGGATCTCAAATTTTTTCGATTTAATGGTGGCAATAATGATTTGAGTTGGTATTTAACTGTCGATGCATATCCTACAATTATTATCTTTCCAGCAAAAAAGTATATTAAATAATTTTATAAGTAATTGAACTAAAAATTCATTAAAATATTCAATTTTTATTGAATAGGAAATCTGATAGCCATATTTTCCCTCGAGAATCTGAGCTAACTTCCAAAAATTTATCTCAATTTATTTTGTCAAATCTATCTATAGAAACAAGATTACAAGCGATGGTTGGGCTTTGCAGAATGTGGGATTCTTCTGAAGTAAATATCATAAAAAACTTACAATTTAATTTCAAGGAAATTCTTACATTAATTTTTTTAGAATTACAGCAAACATGTGCATTATTGTCTTAAAGATATTAAACTTGCATGTGATGCCAACATATCTCAAGCTTTACAAGCTTATCGACGTGGACTTGTTTACAGACAACAAAATAAAAATGTTAATCTTACACGAATATTTAATAGGTTAAGATATCTGAAATTATTTAGTTTGGTTTTGGATGTTACTCATAACCTTAATTATAAATCTATGTCAAAATTTGGTGAAATTTATGACTTATATCTTACACAATCTTAAATTCACCATTTTGAATATAGATATTGTTAATGTCTCGGTAATCATTATTTTAAGAGACACTTGTTATATTCTGTATAATGTACGAGTTTTGACTTACAAGTGTTACTAGGTTTAAATGAAAACTGAGTCTGTGATAATGTTAAATGTTTTTTTAAAAATGCTTTATTAAAATAAAGTTACATGAAACGTTTATAATTGTTTACAGTTTATATGCTTATATTGACATAGTTAAAAAAGAATTAATTTTAATATATAGGTGCAGGTTCTTGTGTCATAAGAAGTCCAAATCGTTCCTTAATACGAATTCTTTCTTTGGAATTTTGATCAGTAGGTGTAAATCGAGCTAAATTAAAAACACAAAATGATTCATAAAAAAAAATAAAACAAAAACTAATATTTGTTCAAATATTACAGTTTATATAATTTTTTATTGTATAAATTATAAATAACAGTAACAGAAGTTACAATTTATTTTAACTCACCAGGATGTGCACTAAGTGTTGGGTTACCAGCTGGATCCACTTTCTAGAAACAATAAAACATATTTTATTAGGAATAATAATAAGTTATTTAAAAAGTTTTATTAATTTTCAACTTGGTCTATTACAATTTCAATATAATTTAATTATTTTTGTTGTTGCTGTAATGGTTTTATAATTATTTATCCTAAATATTTATAAAAATTAAAGAATTTTACTTGTAAATGAATTTTTTCATTATACAATTTAGTTGATATTGCAAAGAGAATAAATGTATATATTTGCATGCCAATAGTCAGTTTTACAAATTTACAAAAAAATTATTTGTCAGTAAAACGAATATTATGTCTCAATGTGAAAATGAGAGTGCTGTATTTGAAAAAAGTCGTTTTAAGCATTAAAGTTTCAATCTTCCATAATAATTGCATTATAAGTTACTATATTTTCAAATTGGGTGCATATATAGATGGAGAATAATTAAATATTAAAATATTGCCAAAATTTTCAATACATGCCTCCATAGTGCGATGGCTACATATTTTAGAATTTACAACAACACGCACTCAATTTTGTAAGAACAAAAGGAACCACTCACAAAAAAAAAGAATCATGCTTAAATTACTACTGTCTAAATTTGTTTTAACATTTTACCTTTAAAGTGTAGACTCGAGTGCCATCCTCGGCTAGATAATATCTTAAAAGCATTTTAAAATTTTCACTGTTAATTTTAATAAAAACTATAATACGAACCTGACAATGTGAGTCGCTGCATAGTATCGGTTAGATAATCACGGTTCTTATCTTATTATTTATTAAGGTAGTAGTGATACCAATATTAAAAAAATCAGGAGTAAACGAAAAAACATAAAAAAATAAGTTGATATTTTGAATTTAAAATTAAAACTATATTAAAAACATATTAATTTCAAAATATTAAAAATTGAAAAAGCCATAAAATATTACTAAAAATCGCGAATACGTATTTGAGAACAATGTTAGCATTATCAACGCTAAACACATAATGTGTGTTATTAGTGTTCTTTAGATTTTAATTAATATTTTAAATATTAGCCACAAGTGATCAATTTTTATTATATAATATTTTGAAAATCGATTAAGATGATTAAAAAAAAAAAAATTATCTCTCGAGTAACATTATTTAACTACTTTTAACATTATTATTCATAATTATTAACATTATAATATCACAGAATGATCACTTAAATCAGCTTGACATATAGATGTAATCATATCAGTGTATCCAAATTGTAAAGTTTAAAATATGTTAACTTACTTCAAAATGTAATTATTTTCGAACTTTGTTTATATTCTCCTCTGGTTCGTCTAGGGACTCATTTAACCATTTTTTTTTCAAATTTCTTTTATAATTAAGAAGTTATAAATCAAATCGGCTAATCGTATTGAGTGAATTACTGGGACTCTCTGAACACTTCTAATCATGACTTTCTCCCGTCACTCTTATAGTATTTATATCCACTATAATATAAATAATACACTTTTAAAAATCTTGCGATTCTATATGTGGCCTAGATTTTATTTTCTTTAGAATGTTTACCCTTATATTAATATTGAAGAAATTTGTTGCAATGTTCTAAAGTTTCTGAATCTATCTTCCGTGTAATCAGACCCGTATTAAAAAATTTGGCGCCCCCGGGCATATAATTTATACCACCCCCTCATCACCACAATAAATAAATAATAATAATAATATAACCCTATTTATTTCGTTCATAATTGGTTCTTTAATATTAAAATCCAAAAAATCCAACTTAATAATTAATAAATGAGAATTATTTAATACTTTTTTTAATTAACAAATTATAACATAATTAAAAATACAATTTTCTTTTTTTTAAAGTATTTTTTTCCTTGCTGGATTATTGGCAAATTCTTCAATTATGTCGCTATAATTAATGTGATTAGTTAATTGAGATTCAATATTAAAAATTGCCAGGTCATTTAGTCTGTCTGTGGATATATTTGACCTTAGATATGATTTTATACGTCTAAGTGTTGAAAATGACCGCTCTGCGGTACAATTGGTCGCTGGAGTACAAAGAAACATACGTAATGCTATACTTACATATCGAAAAATATCCTCCAACTCATGTTTTTTCATCATGGTACTCATATCAATTATACTTTTAGGATGATATTTTATATTTTGTAGATGACTTTGGAAATGGATACAATCATTTACAAAAGTTTCATCTAAATCACTTTTGTATATCAAATATAAATTTTCAGCTGATACATATACTTCCGATGTTTTCATTGTATCAAGTTTTAAAAAGAAACTTAGTTATTACATTATCATATGCCAACTTTCTAGTAGTAAATTCTTTAATTATAGAGTCACAAATTACATAATATGTATTGACTTTGAATTCTAAATCACTAGGCAAATTAACTTCTTCTAGATCAACTATTTCATCATTTTCACGGATCAAGATTATACTATATATATACTACGTATCTTAGTTTGTAGCAGTAATACAGCTATATAAACAGTAGTTCATNATATCTTAGTTCTTAGCAATAATACAGCTATATAAAAAATAGTACATAACATTTTTCTAAAATACAAATTCCAAAAATATTAAATAAAATGCAATTATCTTTTTTTTCCTTACATTTTTAATATAAATTTTGCTAAAATATTGTGCCACCCCCGAGCATAAGCCTACCCGTGCCACCCCTAAAAACGGCCCTGCATGTAATACAAGAGTTTCACCTATTATCTCCTCTTAAATTCTTATTTTATATCTTGGTGCGTCATATTCTGGAATACGGCATGTCCCTGGGAGACCTTTCCTTTTTTTTAATTGTGTTATGATTAAAAGAGTTTAAAAAAAATTTCTTCGTTTAGTAGCCAATAAATGTATCATCTATCCTCTTCCTTGTGATTATACCCCAGTTCTCTTTAACTTGAATTTGCTTACTGTAGCTGATCGTAGACACTTCATTAATTCATCATTTTTAATTTGTTGATATAGAAAAGAAAATTTCAAACAACTATATTCTTATAAAATCAGCCGTGTGCGTTCTAAAATTTTTTAAAGATTTGGATTTAAAATACTGATTTATCATTAATTTGATTTTCATAATACTGATTGTAATAATAATCTACTTCAATAGGCCATACATATTAGTTCTTTCGTAGTAACCTTGAACATTTTTCCACGCCGACCGTTCAGTAATGAACAATAGTATACTTGTGGTGAATCTAAGAGAGTATATCTATTAATAGATATGAATTATTAAAGATTTCAATGATAAAATCAAATTGTATCTGTGACAATTTACGACTATTATATGATACACAGAGTAAATTATCAATAGAAAATTGGTCAAAACCGCTAAACAGGCAATAATAAAAAAAAACACTTCGATGCAAATCTTTAGATAGTGTTTTATTTTAAAAAATTAGTGGATTATTCCAAAGCTACATGATCTGCGAGTTCCTTATTAATATCCTGATTAAGATAAAGTATATCAAATGAAAAAGGGAATATTAAAAAATATTATTTCACCAAAAAAAATTATGTTGATCCATACACTTTTCAATTAGTTATAGCATTATAATGTTAAAAACCCAGCACAGGGGGGTCGCGGCACAGTGGTGATGTGGCATAGTTGGATCAAGTATAATGATATCTGACAGTGATTAAAATCACTATAAAAAAAAAACGCTTCGATGCAAATCTTTAGATAGTGTTTAATTTTAAAAAATTGGTGGATTATTCCAAAAGCTTCATAAACTGCTAGTTCCTTATTAATATCCTGATTAAGATAAAGTATGTCGAATGAAAAAGGGATTATTAAAAAATAGTATTTCCCATAAAAAAATTGTAATGATCCATACATTTTTCAAAAAGTAATAGCATAATAAAGTTAAAAATTTAAAATACAAAATCGAAAATTTTCACACAAAAATAGCATTCAGTAGCCGTTTTCACCATGAAGTCCAGAGGTCAAATTTTTTTTTTTTCAAATTAAAGTACATTACATTAGCTTTAATTTAAGATATATATAAAAGTGTCAGACCTTCCAGAACATTTCCAAAAGTTAAGTTGAAAAAGTTAATTTTTTGTGAAAAAGTTGTCATTTTAAATCCTCCCCTGTGGGCAGAAAAAAGGTCAAATTTACAAAAAAAATATACCAAATAATAGGTAAAGACATCAAGCAGCTATAAAAAAAAAATTATATTGATATGTTCATTTTTGAAAAAGTTACGGCAGTTTTTAGTAAAAAAAATTGAAAAAATTTCGAAAATTAGCGATTTTTAAATTTGTAATTTTTTTGGAGGTTTCCCCCATTTATGGGGAACGAGGGAATTTTTTTCATTTTTTGAGGGTAATGTCTTCGACTAGATACGATTTGTGATCTTTGACGTATCATTGAAAGAAATCGGTTCGGTGAGAGCTGAGAAAAAGTGGTAACAGACAAAAAAAAAAAAAAACACATCTTAGTAAAACCAATACTTTCTCAGCTTCGCATCGAAGCTAAAAATGGTTCACCAAATTAAAAAAAATATAAGAATAATATTTTTTGAAAATTTTTTTCACGTTAAACTAAAAATAGGGGTTCTCATTAAAAATTATTAGATTGTAGGTTTTTTATACTTGAAAAGATAAAAAAAAAATTCATAATTTTACACTTTTTTGAATCAAACAATATTTTCCTACACAAAAATTAAAAATATTCAAAAGTTTCGAAAAAATGAGTGTCTGACAAGTGTGCACTCCTATGTCGGGTCAGTACTAGTCATAGTCATAGAATAGTGTAGAGAAGGAATTCGTTCCAAAAAGAATAGATTCGTGGATTGAGTTCTTTTTATAAGAACGAAGTTAAGTTATTCTACCTTTAAAAATTAAACGTGAATTATTGCATTCTTATGATGTAAATTTACAGTTCCTTTAATGTAGTGTTTTTTAAAATATTTTTCTTAGTTTCTGTTTTATAAAAAAAATATACTTTTACATTGACTATTAATAGTATTTTTTGTTTATAAATCTGACGATCCTAATTATATCTTTATTATGAGGTGGAGTGTCAACAGAAAGGGTTATCTTTAGCAGCTACTCACGTTGCAAAGAAAAAAGCATAACTGTGACTTTTAGGAGTATAAATGAGACCAATTAATCTCGAATAAAATTGTATATTATGTTCTTGCGCTTATGCATAATAAATAAATAATTTCACTAAAAATGTAATATCTTGAAAATACAGAATAATAGACGCAATTTGGGGGTTTAGGGGTTGCTTAACACGTTGATGGACAGTTAATAACACGGTTTAGCTAAAAATAGAGTGCCCACTGGTTTTATGAGATATATGGGGTCAGAACAACTTCCCTCCTTCATAAGAAATCATTGAAAATATTACTGCTAATATCAGTAATGTCATTTTTAGAATAAATAAACCACTGTTATAGCAGTAATATTTAAAAATGACCCCAGACGTCAAATTTAATTATTATTGCTATAATAGTAATATGTGATTTTGTCTATCAACGTGTTAATAATTCCTTCTTTTTACTCTAAACGTTGAAATTAGTTTACTTAGTCTAAATTAACGGAAAGTGAACACATTTAACTTCCAAAACACTACTATCTCATATATTATTATATTTTGTTATAAAAATTATTATTCAATTTTAATAATTATTTTATCTATTTCATTAAAAAATGTCTAGTTGTTTCAGTGTTATGGTTTCAGTTTTTTTTTTAATTTTGATCTTGACATTGGAACATGGATTAAGTCTTTTGTTAACCCTAAGCAAGTGCTAAGAGTTTAAGGGTTTTTATTTTATAGTGCTATGAAATAAAAATTGGTAAGTGCTAAGTTAATCCTCGCCCAAAAAAATATTTTATAAAACATCATTATATCATTATATAAATTTTTTGAGCTTAATATTAGTTTTATTTTAAATATAAAAAAAAATTTTCAGATTTCATTTATTAATAGTTTATATTGTAAATCATAAATTTTTCAATGAATAAAACATTAAAAATTTAACAAATATTTTACTTTAGATATCAATAGATAGAAGTTTAAACTGTGTTTTCACAAGCTAATGGTTTTATAATAATAGTATAAAACCTATCTAAAATATAATAAAATTATTTTCACAATTTTATGACGATTTTTTTTTGTCATATGTCCATTGAACTTGAATTATCATGATAAAATTATCAAAGAAGCATTAGTGCAACATAAATATAAAAAATAATAACTAAGATGATAGAAATTTCTTGTAGCACTTAATTGAACAATGATATTATTCGGGCAGTTATAAATTGATCAGCGGAAAAAACTATATTAATTTTCAATAGCCAATACAAGATATTTCGTTTGAGGTTATGTTTTGTTAATTTTTCTTATGAATGTTTCGTTAATTGCTATTCAGTGTATTCAGTGTATTCAAATTTGTCTTAGTTTCCAAAAATTTTGACTATAAACTGACCATAAAATTTAGTAACATTATACACTTTATTATAAAGTTTAAAATATTGAAATAAAATGATTACTAAAATGTGACAACATATGAGTTAATATAGTATTGAATCAATACTATTGATACAAGCTCCAATTAAAACTATCCAACTGTGTTATTAAAAAAATAGTATTGATTAACATTTAAGGTTCACATAATTATAATTTTCAAATTCTTTATGTGTTAATTCATTAATTTATGTTTGAGATGTTTACAATTTTTTATTTTATAGATAATAACAGTTTTCTATGAGTTAGATCAAGTTTTGATAGAAAATTAACATTTTTATTAAAAAAAAGTTAATAATAGAATATTATATTTTTTAAAAGAAAGAAATAATAGAATATAATTGATTTAAAGTGTTAATCACTCAACAGCTAGAGATAACCAATATCACGTTAAATGGTTAAGCTAAAAGTCCTTGGAAAAAAATATCGAATTAAACTGATGCCAACATATGAATTCGGTCGAATAAACCTGACCATGTTTATTGGCATAATAATTAAGTTTGGTCATATTTATTAATTTTAATAATATTTCTAATAAATGAATACTTGCCTTTATATAGTAATATATTAAATTAAGTATAATTAACTTTATGCTATTTAGGTTAACATCAATTCTCTTATTAAAAACTAATGTAAAGGGAATGTTATTAAAATAAATAATAATTTGCATAATAAACGCTGACTATAGTCTGTATTTATTAATAAAGCATTATAATTGAAATATTTTTACAACTGGTTAAGCTCTTTTATATTAATTTTTCTAAGTCATGTGTTGATTTAATTTTTTAGTTGGTATAAAAAAAATTACTTAGTGCAAAGTTAATATTTATTAACTTTTAATAGTCCTTAGTCAGGATTAATTTATTATTAAAACTCGATTATATTTATAATTAATATATTTTTTAACAGGTTTTCTTGTTTGTTAAATTGTGACTATTTTAGTACAGTAATCTTGTGATATTTTTACATTTATGATTATAATATAGTTTATCAAATTATGTAATACTTCAGCTTGCAAATTTATAATCTATACATAAAAGCAAATTTTTAAAAAATTAAAAGCTGAACTAAGTTATATGTATTCTTGTGCTTTATTTTTTTCTTAAGAAATCCTCAAAAACTTTTTTTTTAGTTTTCAACACTTGAGTTTGACTCTATCTCTCAAAGTAGAAAGATTTTTATTGAGAATAATTATAAGAAACGCTGTTTAATTCTTGTAATAAAAACTTAAAGATGAACCACAGTGAAAGAGGAGCGCAAATAACTTTGACTCTAATAGATTTTTAGAACTTTAGGAATTACGTGGATCAGTGCAGTTTTCATTAAAATAAAGATTAGAGTTAATGCAATTTTATCTCCTTAATTTGTTTGAATAGACATAACTTGAAAATCATTTTTTTTTTTTATAGCAACGACCCTTCATAGATTTTTGTATCTATTGTAATCCAACACTATACATTAAATCTTTATTTCATTAAAAACAAACGACCATAGGAACTGTAATTATTTTAATGATGCTAAAAGAGAACTTATCATTCTATTAGAGTTCATCAAACATTTCAATACGCATGTCTATATTAACTGATAGGAATGTTTTCTGGGATAAAAATGAGTTATTTTACATAAATAACAGTTTTATTTGAGTTATCATTAAATTATTTAAAAAAAATTATGTGAACTGTTACAAAAATGAAACGAGTGATGATGAAGAGAAATCTTGGTTTTTGGCGCGCTTCTCACCGTCCTGAATAGACAGCTGCATTGGTTTTATTGGAGGGGCGAGGTGGTATCGAACAGCTGTTCCCGGTTAGCGGGAAAACGGTTTTAAACGACAATTGCCGCGGTGCCGAAGTGCCACGATTGGTTGTTGTTTTGCAACGGCACACGGCAGCAGCTTGATGATTGGTCGCGCCCCGCCACCGCCGGCACACAGGTCGCTTCGATTCCTCTCGGTAGACCCTGTCCCCCTCTCCCCCACAGTCTGTCCGCGTAAACAAAGGCCCCGCCGCCGAGTTACGAAATCCTCTACCCTGGTTAGCAATTTTTGAGTGTAGAAAACGATATTGAAAATCAAAACGACATCGTTGTTAATTAAAGTTCGCCTAGTATTTGTGGGCGACAAACGTGTTTTCTATTATCATCGTTAGTTATACGAAGACAAACTGTTGTGTCGTGTTGTCGCGTTTCCACGGCTATTTGAGCGGTTACCCGTGCGGGTGAGATTCCGCCAACAACATGGGACGCCGATGGAACGCTGTAACCTTATGCTGCTGCTGACTAGCAGTTATTCTACTTTTAACGGGTAAGCAAAGGCTATGACCTGTTTGCCAGTAACACGTTAAGGTTTCTATTAGCTATCGGTTGCTCATCAACAAAAATAATAAAATCTTTTTATTCCTTACGACGGCGTCATTCTGTGTATTTAATCTATTGGTCATGTTATCTTTTCAGTTATATAATATCCCTTTTTAATGTTGATGGTCTTATTAATATTGAGAATTCTTAGGCTCGTTGTCATTTAGTAAGCAATGAAAATCAACGCGCGCGATAGCCAAAACATAACCTCTATGTCGTTGCATCCGTGTCCATCTATCGCCGCGGTCGTCGTCTCTGTTTACCCTTAGGTATATTGAATGACTACTACATAGCTAATTCTAACTTATAAGTCATTATATATTTCCTCCACATAAAACTACTCAGCTTTTCTTTCATCCTAGTTATTCCTTTTCCAATTTATGGAAGTATGGTAAAAAATGTATTCTAAATGTTGCCTCATAACTTTGTTATTAGTCTATTTTTAATGATTTTTAAATCCTTTATAAGTGAATTTTTTTTAGATATAACAATTTATAATAATTATTATTTTAATCTATAATTTGTTGAACAATTGGTCAACTTTTGCCTTAAATTAAACATATAAATAATTTTTGATTTAAACTTACTGTATATTTCATTTATCCTATGCTTAATTGTGTTAGTTTGAAGGGTAAAAAGTGTAAAATATAAACATTTTAAATGATAACATCAAATATTTTATTGATTATGAACTATAATTTGTTTAATATTTTTATAGTTTAACTATAACGTTCTACAATGTATTAATTTTATAATCATCAAATAGTGTATACATTTTTAAACAATATTATTTTAATCTGGGTTAACACATCATGTTAATGTGAACTACTAAATAGATTGAAAAATAAATATAATATTCCCTTAAGCGTTTTAATATGAGTGGGAGGTATGTCGTGCTGGTAGAATATATATTATAAATATACACCAGTATGAGTTCTACCCATAGTGCTATATACCCACTTTGTTGGAAAAAGGTTTTAACTCAATAATTACTCATCTTAAAATATTTATAAAAATAACTTTAAAAATCTGCAATTTTAAAATTAAAATAAAATATAAATGATATTTTTTATTATTAAAAATGAATAGTATAAAATATTCTTTTAATGCAGTCTACCAATGCAAAGTTGCTAAAAAAATAAATAATTATAAAATGATGATTCGATCAAAAGTTATAAGAACTCTCAAGTTTGTTCAATCTGTATATATATACAGGCTGTCCCATGATGTTTTAACAAATCCACATACTTTTTTATGGTAAATTNAATATGTCTAAAGCATGCAGGGTGTTGAATCTAGAAGAAGATGGATCTTCAACTCCTAATACAACAATAATAAAACTAGGTAAATAATAATTGATGTGGTATTTAATATTTTACTTGGTTTCCTTGGTTTTTAGTATAATTATTTTTTAACTATTATTTTTAGATTATGTCAACAATAGTTCAAATATAACGACTTTTTTGACACCATCACCATATCATTTGCTTGACCACGAGTATGGTATGACTCCACAAAATCAAATCATTCCAAATCCATTAACATCACCTTTGGTTAAATCTCAAGTAAGTAGATTTTCAATAATTTGTTTACAAGTGAAACCTCATTAAAAAAAAACTATTAATAAAGTATGATTTGATTTTTAGTTATGTTAGTATTTTTTAATATTAATGAATATAAAAAACATTTTTTATTATTAAATAATATATTTATAATATATCAAAAATTTATATTTATTTTATAATGAATCAATTTTTAGGGTGTAAAACGTCGATTGAATTTAGAAACTTCAAATTTTGGTTATGAGGAGGTATCCACTTCAATGACTCCAAAAAGAATGAGAAAATGGTCAAGTTCTAGTGGTGGTAGTGAGAATCCCAGTCCAGCACAGAGTGGTATATTAACTAAATTTTCTAAGTGAAAATGAAATGACAAAATATTTTTACAGTTGCTGGTAAAAAGTGTGCTGAACGTCCAACTAGATATGATACATCTTTAGGACTTTTGACAAAAAAATTTATTGGTCTGTTGGAAAGTTCAGTTGATGGTGTTGTTGATTTGAATATTGCATCTGAAAAATTAGATGTTCAAAAGCGTAGGATATATGATATTACAAATGTTTTAGAAGGTATTGGAATTTTAGAAAAAAAATCTAAAAACAATATCCAGTGGAAGTAAGTGTTATTTAACAAAATAATTTATATATATAATACACAAGATGATTATTTTAATTATAACCCACTCAATTACTAAAAATAAAAATAATTTTAATATTTTTTCTTTTGGTTACTTTTAGTTACAATATTTTTCTTGAATTATTGTAGTACTTTGTAATACTATTGTAATACCTTTTTAATACTTTTTAAGTTTATCCCTTATCCCTTATATTTATGTTAACTTTGCTTTTCAAATTAACACTCATATTTTGGATTTATTTTTTTTTTTTTTTTAGTAGTAAAAGGTATTTGAATTTTTATGTTACTTCATTCATTTATTAGATATAGCAATTGAAATATTCAAATTCTTGTATTAAAATACAAGGATTACAAATATAGTTAGCTAATTGCTTTTTATGATGTTGCTATTCACAGATATGCAGCATTTATTGCCAATTATGACTATCAATAGATATACTTTTTGTTTTGCCTGTAGGTGTATTTTAAAGGTTAACTCCCAACATTTTATATTATCAAATCATCATACTTTAAGTATATCTATAGATTAAATCATGTGGACATTAATTGATATCTTCTTTTTTGGCAAAATATTTTCTCAAGTGTTAAGATCTTAATGTGGCTAATAGTGGATAAATAAAAAATTATATCTTATTGAAAAATATAAAAAAAATTCTATACATTTTTATTTAAAAAAAATCTAATATTCAATGATAAATCAATTATACTGTATATATATATTATATATGAATATTAATTTAAAACACTTTTTTTTTTTTACATTAGAGGTGGAAATATGTATGGATCAGACAAAAATACAGTTCAACAAGATATAGATATAATGAAAGCCAAAGAAGAAGAACTAGATAAATTAATAATTAATACTGGTATATATAAAAATATTTTTTGATTTTGTATAAATATATATTTATATATTTTATTATTATTAGAACGTGATATTAAACAGTTAACTGAAGATAAAAGGTATGGCTATGTATCTTATCAAGATATTAGGTCTATTGAGTCATTCAGACAAAAAACTGTTCTTGTTGTAAAAGCACCACCTGAAACAGAACTCCAAGTACCTCAAGATCATGTTGATGGAGAAGTAAATGTTCATTTATTAGTTTATAATAGAATTGTTTTAATTTAATTAATTAAATTTTTATAGCAAAAAATGTATATGAAAAGTAATACTGGTGAAATTGAGGTTTTCTTGTGTCCAGAATACAATGCTAGTGCATCTACGCACCAACCTCAGAGCCAACTAAGGCCTTATATTACTCAAGTATTTATTTAAACCTTTTCAATACAAAAAGTGTTTTATTTTTTAATTTGTCAAATTAAATATTTATACATACATTCATTAAGGATAAGATTCTCATTTATGAAAACTTAAAAAACTTATTTTTAGTTTAATAATGTTTTGAAAGGTATTTTTCCTATAATTTTATCCTATAAATTTTGATTTTTAGCCAATTTTCTATTAATAATTTGCTGTGTAGCATACAATAATTGTCATTTGTCACGGGTATAATTCGATATTATCCATTATAGAAAGGTCTTATCCTTAATTCATGTCTGTTAATAGACATAATTACTTATGATTAACATAAGTTTACTATCATACTTTGTTTGGAAAAATGTTCTCGTTATTTCCAAAAAAATAATAGTTACTGCTAATTGAAGCAGATATTAGTAAATCATCATGTATATATAGAGTGTATAAAATTTTGCTTTTCAAAAAAGTATATTTTATTTGAAGAATTACCTAACTCGCATCACATTTTTTTAATAATATACATAAATATGTTTTAAAAGCAACTAACAAGATAACCTTAATTTATTGAATTATTATTTTTAGAATATCAGTGACAATTCAAACAATGATAATTCAGTCATTAAGTCACCACAAAAACTTACTGTTATTCAACAGTCTCCAACCTATTCGTCTTACAAGTACAAAGTAGAAACAGTAAAGTCTTATATTGAAAATGATGATGACCATTGTGTAATTGATGTACCCAAAGAAGATATGAACATTGAACAGCAACAGTTCATTCCTAGCACTAGTGGTTCTGGTATGCAAATTATTACACATATACCACGTTTCATTTTCCATGCACATCCTGGTGTACGCATGATGGCTATGAAGTTTCAAGCTGTTTCTATTGCTCGCATATAACTTCTCTTCTACTTACTTTTACTTATTACTTCTAGTCTAATTACTACTTCTTTTCTTGTTTTATCATAAGCTTATTTGCTAATTTCCTTAGGCTTAAATATAATCCATAAAAAAAATGTTTGTTTTTATTTTATGAATTAATATTTATTTAGTATTTTGCATGTTGGAAGTATTATAATATCGCTGGAGTTTTATTTTGTTTTTACTAGTTTGTTTTGTTTTTCTTTTTTGACACTATTTACTGACTATATATATATATATTTTTTGTATAGTACAAAACTTTATGTTTCACCAATTTGTTATTGAATATAGATTCTAAAATCTTATGAACTCTTGTATTGTTTAGCATAGTTCTTATAATTCTATAGAAATTTCAGAATGATGTTTACCAGTAGTTACATTACATTTATAACTATATAGCCAGTTAGTGTAATATTCTACTGAGAGTTATGGTATAAGAACTATAATTGATGGTTTCATTCTTTTAAATATAACATTTAACTTTTATTAGTTCTCAATATTTTTTACATTTATTATATATACTAAGACAAACATTTTAATTGTAATGAATGATGTCCCTTTAAAGATTTCTTTGATGAGATATTATGAAAAAAACTACAGTAATTAGTTTTAAAACAAGTTAAGTCTTATTATTCATTTTTTTAAAGTGTTATTTTAAGAAAATTAAGTTTAATTTTTTTATTTTGTTGCAAACGAAAAAAAAAAATTCAGTTTACATATTTTGTATTTTAGATAAATCTTAATATGGTGACAATCTTTATTAAATACAATGTTTATTTTGAAATAAGTTAACTATTTAATATATAATAAATATTCATTTTTAATGCAAAAATATTTACTATTATTGTAATTTATTCTGCCTTTATTTTACAAGGCTTAATGTGAATTAATGAAAAGCTTTATTAATGTAATATGATATACTTCAATGAGGAGCAGACTTGGTTCAAAAGGAATAAACCTTTAAACTGTTGTGTGGGATTATTCAATGTTTTGTTAACAATAGTGCTTTTTGGGTACTCTGCTGGAAAAATAAAGTGTCTGTTGTCAACTGAATTTTACGAGTGCCGCATGTAATGTATGTCTTGTAGCACCATGGAATTCAGCTGCTGCTTGACAGTAATAGCTGCTTGTTTTCTTTTATTCAGTCATCCCGTTTCTTTTTTTAAAAATGTTAAATATTTAAAAATATATTTATAATATATTTGTATTTTAATGTTATTATTAAGAAATGCTAAAATTTTAATTTGTCCAATATGTAACATTTTTTTTTACTATTTTTTATTTTGTGAGTGTTTTATATTTAAATACCAAAAAAGATAAATTATTTTTGACAAATGTATATATATATATATATATATATATATATATGTCTTATAAGTTGGAGCATACTAAAACTAAACTACTATACTGAGCTTAATTTTGCTACATTGTCTTTCTTTAAAGTATTGAAAAATTTTAACTTTTGCATGATATAAATTATTTTAACTTTTGGGTGTAAGTATTCTTAAATTATCTTGTATGTCATATTTTATTTTTTAGCTAAAGACATGTTTGAAGTATCATGTGAGCCTTTCTTGATGTTAGAACCACCTAATGAGGATGATTATAACTATTGTTTGGATTCAGAAGAAGGTCTTGGTGATCTATTTGGTTTCAGGCTAGAATAATAAAGTTACAGTTAGTTAAAATAATTTATTGTAATTTATAAGCCAATATTCTTCTTTCTTTCTTGTATAACAATTCTTTATTTACTTATTTTCAATTTTATCTTTATTTAATTAAAGAAAATTTTTTACTTAATATTTAATCTTATTTTTAATTACATTTTTATTTATTATTCCAAAATTTAAATTTTTAGCTTATTATTTTATATCAATTATTAAATGTTTTAAATTAATTATTATTTTAGTTTCTGATTTTTGAATTTTTGGATATTGAATCATTAAAACTATTTTCATGTTCAAGTAAAAGTGTGTTTTGACTTTCATTATATTTTATAGTTATAATCTCCAATTTTTTTTTATGAATTGTTTTATTATTTTTTGTATATGTTGAAATTAATTTTGGCTGAATATGTTTTAATAAAAGAACACTAACAAAATAAATACAATTTAGTGCCTTTAACTTTTTTAAAAAAAAATTGATATTTGAATTGAGTATTTCGTATTCCATTATAGAAATGATAAATGGAACATAAATTGTTCCCAATCTAATATAAATTGTATTTGATGTATTAAAAGGTTATAGAATTTCATATATTTGTAAATATATATAATTATAAAATATTTTCTAAATAAAATATCTGTATATTTTAATAATTTTTAGTATTATTAGTCTACCTCTAGTTATTTAAGATAAAAGATTAATTTGTATTATTATTTTGGAAACATAAATACTAGTTTTAAAATACTTTTATTTATGTATACATTAATTGTAATATCATTATAAAATCAACTGTCGTGTACTATTTCTGTATTTCAAGATAGATTTATTTGGTTGTTTTAATGTCCTGTCAGGTGATCTCTGTTACTAATTTTGAACTCTAGACCATTTTACTAACATCTTTGTAAATTTATTAACTGTTTGTGTACAATATGTTTGCATGAACAAAATTTAACTTAAGTATTGTTGGCCTGTTGCTTAAAATGATAAAAAATGAGATTAAAACTATTCATTGTTAATTATCTTGCTATTTAATTTTAACAAATTATGATTCAAGCAAGCTAATTTTTGGTATGTTCACTGTTCCTGCATTGTAATTATGTAGCATTGTACATTAAGTGTCTCCTCCAAAATTTGTATGCTTTTTATTGACAACTTACACAAAAATTGTATTTAATTTTTAATATAAATTATAATAAAGTGCCATTATAATTTGACACTTAGATAAATTTGCTCTTGTAAAAATTTTACTGATATGATGAATTTTGATACAGTTTATTATTTATCATTTTGAATCTAATTTTTATAGTGATGGATTATTATTTAGTAAATTTTTTTTTCTATAAAATATTTCCCAATTACACTTTAATTTTTAAAGACACTGTGAAATCACTGTCTGAACATTATTTTTCTATGTCTTTAATTAACTTGAGTAATAGAACTATCAGCAACATTTTTCTGTGTAATATTTTGTTAGAATAAATACTAATGTATTTTAATTTTTTCTTTTTATTATGCATAATTTATATAATTATTATTGTTTAGTTTAATTAAAAATTTTTAAATAGAATTTTTAATGATTAATATTTTTTAAACAAAATTTTATAGCAAAATCAAATGTTTCTTTGAAATTATTTTTGATTACTAAAATACCATTAATCAATATTTTTTTTTGTTTAATTAATGCGTATATAAGTTTATAAATCTAATTTTGAGAAAAGGTTTTTGAAATTAATTTATTATTCTATTATAATTTCATTGGTGCAGAGTGGTTAAATGTTATGTAGTAGCTAAGTTAAGCTTTTTTTCTTATGAACTTTTATATGTAAAAGCACCTGTGATTTTTTTGATAACTTTTCTTGGAGGTAGCAAATTTTTTAAACTGATGTGCTAAGCATTTCGACTTATACCTATTTATAATATCCTAATAGTATTGCATAGTTTTTTAATTTATAGAAAATTATTCACTAAAATGTTTTGATCTATCAATACTAAAATTTAAATATACTTGTGAAGTCAAGGAATATGCTTAAGAATTATTTTAAATTCAGTTGATTTTAAATAGGAATAACTTATAATTATCTCTTTAATCTCTTTCTTAACTATCTAGGGCCAGTTTTACTTTATTAATTTGATAGGATTTTTATACGGTCTGTCTATCTGGCCCAACATCATGATTAAAGCATAGACAAGATAAACGTCATCTTTGAGGAAACCTGAAGGGGGTAAGGTGTATGTCAAGTTCCCGTATATTTTTTCATCTGAGAACAGCAAACAGCGCAGCTGTCATCTCTAAAGCGATGACTGAATGATCCACACCACAGTCTCACTATAATAATATTATTTCTATTAAATAGGAATAACTGTAGTTATAGTTTTTTTTCGATAGAAGTAGACATTAAAGTTACTATTTAAGTTGTAAATAGTATAACGTTTATTATTTGTGTAAACATACAATAAGCAATTATAGTGTATTTTAAAAAGAACAAACTAAGTTAAAACGTTATTTTAGAGGAAAAAAAAGTCTGCATTTAACCTAGGCATAAATACAAGGGGGGCATTATAGGCCCTCAAATTTAGGATTATTTAAAAAAAATATATTTTCGTCCAAAAAAATAGTGATAAAATTTCTTCTTAATCCGCGCCCGATTTGGTCAATTTTTTCCTAAAATCATTGAGTGTGCCAAATTAGATTAGAGACCTCGCATTTCAAAAACTAATTAATGCTTATTGTAATCATCTTCATCATGAACCGTAAAATTTTCAATTTGTAAGGGTATAGAAAAATAAATTTTAGGTGAATGAAAAGTATAAAAATCATTACCGTTATTGAGCTTATTTAATTAAAAAAGAAATTATTTTTTCACCTACTTCATAATTTTTATGTTTTTAACTGTGAAGTAATTTTGAATGTATGAGTTTTAACATCGTTATAAAATTTAGTCTTTGCAGACTAGAGATTTTTTTGTTCTTTCTAATACAATTATTTAGCCAACTTACTCGTATAAAAGTAAGTACTATTATATAAGATCATTTAATAAATTAATAATAAAATTAGTTTATTTAAAATAATTATGATTTTAGTAATTAATTCTCAAACTTTCATATAAATACTCTTACTATCTTCACTAAGTCTTAAATTTATGATTTCATCATGAGTTAAACAAATAAATATAAAATTGACTGAGGTTGGTTATTTTGTACAGCGATTTTGTTTTGAAAAAATGTTTTTAATTATTTTATTTTTGTTAAATAATTGCATATTTTTAATATTACTAATTGTGTTTTAATTTTTGAGCTATACAGTGATTTATCCTAGACCACTCGATTACTCCCAAAATAAATACATTATTGAAAAACATTTTTTTTGGTTTTTCTTTAGTTAAATATATTTTATATACAATTATTTAATTATTACTTTTTAAAACCATCTATTATAATGTATACAGGTATCAACTTAATTTTTTTAAATGACAATATATATATTAACTAGCTCATAAAATAGAAAATAATTATTATGAAAATAATTGATCATTAACAAGTTTTAGACTAGTACTTCGAAAACTATTTGTCCTTTTTGTAGATAGGTTGGAGGAGGGATGTCTATTAATAATCTAGCAGCAACCATATTTTACCTCTAGTCTATATTTAAAAAAAAAAATTTGGTTGACATTATTACAAGGTATGATTCTAAAAAGTAATTAATAGCTGATAAATAAAAAAATATAAGTAACTAAAGAACAACTAAAATTTTTATTTCAACATTGTATTTATTTTACAAGTAATCAAGTGATTTTTGATTAATTGATCATTTTTTATATTTTAGAAAAATAATTTATCAATAAAAATATAAAAATAAGTTAAAAAAAAAACTAAAATTATAACATAAACCATTGCTATTATTTGGAGATTTTAATAAAATTTTGAAGTACATATATAATTATACAGAATAAGCTCAATAAATTTATTACAGAATCGTAATATCCCAGATAGCCATTAAATAACATAAAATAAGTCTTGATACAAAATTTTAAATTTGCCCTTTTACTACATGAAGTATATATCGTTTATGATTTTAAACACCAAATTTTAATATGTACAAAATATAGAAAAATAATAGTATGTTAAAAAAAAAAAAAAAAAAAAAATAAAAAATT